AAAAATTGCGTTTAATATGTTTCGAACGCCTTTCTGACACTGGGGTTTTTTTTTTCCGTCATTGTCCACCCACCAGATCCCGTAGACGACTGCAACAGAGAGAGCAAAGGAAGTAATAAAAAGAGAGAGAGCAGTGAGGCAGATTTATTCAGAAAACGTACTAAGAAGGACACAGTGGAAGACTTCAAAAGATCCAAGAAATCTAAGAGGGATTCGTTTTCAGGAGAAGACGAGCATAAGGCAAAGAAGTCGGCGAAAGGAGAGGAGGAGAAATCAAAATCTAGAAAGAGCAAGAAAGATTCAAGCTCAGACGATGAACCAAAAAAATCGAAAAAGCGAAAGGACAGCTCGTCCGAGGAGGACAGGTCAAGAATGAGAAAATCTAGAAAAGATTCGACCAGTGACGAGGAGGGAGGAAGGATCAAGTCAAAAAAGAGCAAAAGGGATTCAAGTTCGGAGGACGATGACATCGTGGAAAAAGGATCGAAGAAAAAGAGGAAGGTGGATGAGAGCAGCGAGGAAGAAAAGGTGAAAAAGAAGCGAAAAAAGAAGGCAAAAACAAGCACGAGCGAATCAGAGGTAAATTGCACAAGTTTCCTTAATACAAAACCACACGGCTGTATTTCTCTTAAAATATCTTTTTCATTTGTATCATTAGGACAGCGAAGTCGAGGAAAAGAAAAGAAAGAAGGATAAGAAGCACAAGAAACACAAAAAGCATAAGAAGCACAGAAAACACAAGAAAAAGAAGATTGCCGATTCAGAAGAATCGGATGCGAGCGAAGGAAACACGGAAGAACTGGAGAGGAAGCTTCGAGAGAAGGCATTGAAATCAATGAAGAAGGGTATTAGCATAGAGCGAAGCGACTAAAGCGTTTCAAACGAACTACTATATGCTCGTCGTAAGAGAACAAATAAGAAGCGACCGAGGACCGAGAACATCAGCAAATTATATATCGGTCGTTCGATGTCGCAAAACATTTTGCGGCGTAGCGTAATGCAAATGGCGAATGGAAAGCGGACTCGAATACGAATATTTTAGCATTCACGTACTTATTTGCGTGACAGGATGTGAATGGATATATCAATGTGTGAATTACGTTAATCGAATAAAGGACTGTGGCCATCGTCCATAGAGCCGTATGGCCGTCGAAAACATTGAAAGATGAATGTGTCGCAATTATCAGCAACGGTACCGTTGTTACTGAACGAAAAGTATAATCCGACGAAGGACAGAAACCTGTGTCCATTATTAGCATTTACATTTACAACTTTTCGTCGCTCTTTAATCATTCTTGTTTAATTTTTCAAGAAAAACGTTGACGAGTCTATTTGATGAGTGTAACCGTGTGACCTGAGAGCAATTCAACGCGCCATTATGCGAAGGAACGAGTGCCGCTTGTAACTTGGAGTTTACAAGTCACGATCGATCTTAATGCTTTGTATCGTTGCTTCAATTACAATAGCCATACGATTCCCAACACTAAAGTTTTATCTTTAACGTATTTAGTTTGTACTCGCTGTGACGCGTGTTTCACAATTTATTATTACTTCAGACACTGAAAATACACTAATTTGAAGGAAGCATCATAATCATAAATCATTCCCTCCCTCACATAATTCCGTCTAAAGATGCACGTTGTATGATTGTACAATCAAAACAATTTATTCAGAAACACTATATATTGGCCAACATTGATTCCCAATCTGGTGAGCATATGAGTGTGCCACCGATTCCTCCCAAATTGATCAAATGGCCTGTTTGTTTTTCACTGTCGACTTTCGTAGCCACAAGATCCTGAAAAAGAGTCGAGTATTAATTAGTCTCCTGTTGAATTAGACGCAATCGCTTTGAAAGCATCGTCGTGTGATGTTTAACGAGAACGTTTACCTGACGAAAACTAAGTTTTGAACCAACATCAACGATTAAATCGTTGTCGCCTAAGACAAGCCGTGCTTTGCCAGACTTGAAAATTTGTAACTTTCCCAACAGTCCCTCCTTCAAAGTATTTAATGTACAATATTCGTTATTTGAATTTCTTCCAACATCTGTCCCTTCTACGCTTGATTCTGCAGATTTTAATCTGAATTCATTTAATTCTTCACCAACTCTCAATCCCGGCAAACAATCTGGAAGCTGGTGAACATACATTATCAGCCGAGTACGTTAAAAAAAATGACAAATACCATATCTTCTTACCTGTATCAGTATGTAGCTGTTTCGTTTGCTATCAAAAATTTGGGGAATCGTAGTGTCTACCAACTTGCCTCTTGGACATACACGCAATCTTGATGCCTTCGCGTTTGCCGAATAATCTGGTGACCTTACTAAAAGTCAATATTTTGTAGGTAAAATTCAATATCAAGCTATCAAAACTGTTGCAAGAAGGTCATGAGTTTTCTTATTCATTTGATTGCATACCTTCGCCATTCTCCAAAATAATCGGTTTCGAATCCTTTGATTCCGTCTCGGCGGTCTCTTCCTTCAAATCTTCTTTATACAACGTTCCTGTAATAGTTATACTTCAAGTCATATCCTTAATTGTAAGATTAACATAATTAGTAGTCAACTGTTTTCTATAGAATGCCAATAGCTAGTATTTATCTTTTCCAATGTACCATCTTCAATCATTGGTAACATAACTGGTGCATTATCCAGATCCGTGTCCAATCCATTATCAATAAAGTCATCTCTCAATAGTAACTTTAACTTTTCTTCCTCGGCAGCTTTATTAACATTACGGTCTAAATTTAATTTTGGCTTTTCAAGGAATGGACCACTGTTTCCATCACTTCTACTGTCAGTTACACCACTGTATCGTCTATTTGCGCGTGCTGCATCTGTTATACCCTCAGAAAATACTCCAACAGACTAAAAATTGAAAAAACGATTTGCACTATCCAAGCTCACCAAATAAACAGAATACAGAGGACTGAGATAAATTGACAATATACCTGTATGAAACTACTCATTGACATTTTTCTACGTCCCCTACCTCCATCCTCACGACCACCACTATGACCTCTACCTCTGTCTCGATCTTTAGATATTTTTGATTGGTGTGAGCTGGAACTTCCATATCTAAAGAAAAGATTATTACAATATTTTTTTAAGCTATGAATATTAGTATAAGCAGAAAGTAATATATTCTTACTCCTTCTTCTTGTTCCTCTGAGCATTTAAATTAGGTGTATATATTTTTTTAGCTTTCTCGGTTTTAATGCTTCCACCAAGCGTTAAGTCTCGAGGTATCCGAAAAGAAGTTAGTCTTGTAGTGGACGATGAAAGGCCTGGCTCTGTCTTTATATTTTTTAACAGGGTCGATACTGATGCACCGGGTTCCATTTTCACTTGACTGTTTTCATTGGTTGGACGGTTTGCATTATTCAACTGATTTGAAGCCATCGCTGAAAATGATATAAAGGATAAATAATAAAATCTAAGTAAACGTTTGAAAATAGGTAAAATGTTTTTTGTAACTTTATCCCGTGGTAGGTGCTCTGATGTCGTTACGGTTCGGATACGCAAAATTTATGAGTTTAAAACATAAAAATGAACCTTTTTCTTGACAGTTAGACGAAACAAAAATGTTATTTCATCATTATGCAAACATTTCAAATGGTAGGCAAATATCTTAACCTTCAAGATCACACATCCAGTAGTATTATATGCCCGTATTAAGGACACGAAAAGTACATTCACAATATAAATGAATGGCACCCGAACATTTACTATCGTAAAATAACAATCTCTTGTAAGTAAAATGATTTATAAGGCAATAGTATAAATAAATACTGAATGTTACTCCTGACGCACGTGCGTTTAAGAAGTTCAATTGGGTTATGTTGGATTACGTTGTTGTATTGAATTAGGTGAGATTTGAGGCATTATTAATCTTCTAAAATGGTTCAAATAAATAGTTGGTGGCAACTGATGATGTAGTGTACCATCTCCAGGGGTAAGTTCCGAAATTGACTGCCAGTACTGCGACCGATGATATGTCGTTATTCATCCACACGTACCTGAGACAAATGCAATTACTTTTACAGTAGTAGTACTGTCAGTAAACCTCAGTATTGGGTCGTACGACGAAAGGTTGTACGAATTCACTTCTATCTACATCTATCTACACTCGCAATAAAAAAATACGTTATACAGTCGAATGTACTGAAAAAGTTCCCCAGCTCTGCCTATGCGTCGATGAACTGTGTCTCACCAGGATAACTCATTGACTCATGCGCGTATCAGACATATTGCGTATAATTTACTAAAAACTGTACCGTCCAGTATTATAATTATAGAGTGACGTACGTATAATATAACGAACATCGACATATAGTATGGACTACGCATAGCATAGGAAAAATAATCGGCTGATAGAAAAAGATAGCGATTTAGTGGCGGCCAAGTCGTAGTACGTGAGTATAGAAAAAGAAGCCAATGGGAGCATTAGAAAAGGAGAGCGTTTGGCCGCCACCTCATTTCCTCTTTGTTTATTTGAGTAGATACTTTTTCAAAGAATCTAAGGTAGAGTTCGCGTAGTTGATACTATAATATGTCGATGATACCGAGTTATTCAATCCAAACGCACCACCTGGAGTTAGCGCATTCATTTCATTCTCTTAAAGTAAAAAAACCATTTCATATGGTACGTTTGGGATGAATAAACGGGTATATCTCTAGGTATCATTTATAGAAAGTAGAAAGTGTCGGAAAGCATATTTTATTAACTTTCTTCTTTTTTTTCTTTACATAGAAACATGTCGAAGGCTTTTCGAGTGGCCATCTTGTCGAGCTGCAAGTAGTTCGCACGATGGGACACACCTACATCCATAGACTTTCAAAACCCGGTAATAAATTTGATTATGATATTGACATAAGGAAATGCGAGGAAAAAGAACAAAACTTGCAAAAAAGTGCAGGATTCTGAGGAAGATTTTAAAATAAACCCTAGACGTAATCCGGGTTGGCAGAGCAAAGGTTGGGAGGGAGGAGGGGGGGGGGGTACGAAATGCGCCAGAGTGTGAAAACTACGACTTAACCTTTGGTATAGTTTTTATACTTTACATGGTATACGTACTTGGTGCGAGAGTTCCGAGATGCTCCCACATCCTCGTCGGTATACTGAGCCTTCGAGAAACGTAATAGAGATGAAATATAGTGAAGAAATAAAGATGGCTCACCGAGTGGATCGAAATCTCCAAAACGATAGTTACTGATAATCTCGTGAGGTCTGGTATTTCTTTCCCTTGCTCATCAATGACTTTATAATAGGGTGTGCGTTGTTCACTACATGTGTGTCACGATTCTATCGAGTCTGGGCAGAAAAAGATTACCCTGATTTGGAAATATTTCTAGCAAGATCGTTGCAACAAACTGGAGCGTTCTGAACGGTCGTTCTGCATACATACATAATAGTACATACATACAACTTTAAAGAAAGGCGAGTGTTCGCCAGGTTCTGTTACTTTTCCTGGATAACATAAGATATTCGGGCTTCCTGGACAAACTCGAAAAACAAGAAACTTGGAGTACATACATTTACTTACGAACAAGGGATCTTTCTGGCTAAGGAAACAACGACGTACGGTGCATTTTTTTAATTCCAGGTATGCCCAAGGGACTAAAGTAATTTGGAGAATAAGACGAGAAATAGGAGAGAGAGCGCCGCGTACAGAGTGCGGTAATAATGTGTACAGCAACAGCGTCATCGTAATCTCCAGGAGGTAGTCGCGACGTTTTCAGTATGGTTAGTAGTGGTGACATGGCCAGGAGAGAACATAGCCAGTCGGTGATGAGGTCATCGTATCGCTTTTTAGCCGCGACCGCAGTCGCAACGCGGAGCGCCCGAACGCCGGCTGTTACGTTCCAGCCGCAGTTCCAGGGAGTTTCAGGCTCGATCTTTTCTGATCATGTGCCACGTGTGTTTCCAGCGGGGAAACCAAATCGGGTCATCGTTCGATCATCGCAGAGAAAAGCTGACAAAGCATCAACCTGTCGATCGCCTCGGTCTTCGTAGCTGCGCTTGTTTCGCTCGGTTGTATAGAAACTCGCGTGCAAACTTACGGTAAAGCTCGGGACGAAATCTCTGGACGTCTTAAAGGAATTGCAACGGTACCCACCGGTGATAGTTGAATGGGAATGACGTTCTTGTACACATTATACTAAAAAAATAAAATAAAAAAAAAGGATACCATTCTTCCATCCTAAGAAAGATCTCAGAGTAATACTGGACGAGGGAATACAGAAGGTAATGATGGTTTTCGAGTCAAAGACAGTTTCATACGCAAAACACCACGTGTTTATTTCGAAAATAAGAAAATTCAGGCGCACGCGCAACAGTCGGTAAACTCGCTACCAGCTACATTTCGAATGGCGCGTCCGAATATCTAGCTCTGTCACACCGCACTTTTGTGACAGAGCATCCCACGAGAAGTTGTACCATAGTCGCGATATATTTCTGATAGTTATAATAGCCACGCCGTTACAATCCATCGCGTTAAAGGAAAAAGAATCAAAAAAATTCGTAAGCAAGAAAACATGAGGAGTTTGAATATTACGGAGCACGAACCTAAACTCTCTTTTGAGTAAGCGTTCATTTCGTCTCTCTTTTTCTTTTCGATACAAGCATTTTCTTTCACGTGCGTCCTTCCTCCTGTGTCCCTGTTGCTCGCTTGCTCCGTTACTTATCCTTGATCTCCCGCTCGCATTTTCTTTTTTTTTTATCGACGTGGCTCACCATTCGACTTCTAACACCAATTATAATAATCGCATCCCTTTCGGTAAGTCTATCACGAGAAGTCTATCAGATGTTTATTCTCCTTAGACGTAGAGCCATCAAGTGATTGTGCCCAATTGCGTGTACATCCGGATAAAAAAAACAACGGTAGCTCATTGGACAGAGTAATCGAGGTGACCGAGGCGATTGAGGTACGAAACAAGTCAAGGAGAATAAAAATTTTCATCTTCGAGGAAGAGATTATATTTTTTAAGACGGTGTGCAGCAACAATAAGCAGTATTTCCGTGTTTTCTCGTTTGAGAGTTGTTTAAACTTTCATTGGAACCAATAACCGAGTGTTTATTCGATCAAGTTGGGGACTCGTGTTTTGTGCTCTACGTGCTATAGTGTTTCGTGCTTGATTTGTGCTCCGCGATATCTCAAGAAGCGATTACTGACCTGACATTCTGCGCTGAACCGACTTTCATCGTAAGAGCTCATTCAGAGTTGTCCCTCTCACCTGACAGTGCTCTCTCTCTCTCTCTCTCTCTCTCTATATATATATATATATATATATATATATATATATA